CCATTCTCCCCCCCCCCCCGGGGGGGGGAGGGGCAGCCGCGTGGCGCTTTTGTTGCTGGCAGCAGCCGAAACCAGAACAAGAAGGTGACAGGTTTCCTCACAGAAGTCCTTTACATAAACTCCTTTACGTTTCTGTCTTATGCTGTGCACTAGAGAATCCGTTTGTTTGGAATGGGGGAAAAATAGTTCACAGTCACAGAATGGCCGAGGTTGGTGATTATGTAGTCCAACCCCGCTGCTGAAGAAGGGTCACCTACAGCAGGCTGCACAGGACCTTGTCCAGGAGGGTCTTGAATGTCTCCAGAGAAGCAGACTCTACTACCTCCCTGGGCAGCCTGTTCCAGTGCTCCGTCACCCTCAGAGGGAAGAAGTTCTTCCTCATGTTCAGCTGGAACTTCCTATGCTTCAGTTTGTGCCTGTTGCCCCTTGTCCTGTCACTGGGCTCCACTGACAAGAGTCTGGCCTCGTCCTCCTGACACCCACCCTTGAGATATTTATAAGCATTTGTAATATCCCCTCTCAGCCTTCTCTTCTTCAGGCTGAACAAGCCCAGCTCCCTCAGCCTTTCCTCACAGGACAGATGCTCCAGTCCCCTCATCATCCTCGTAGCTCTCCTCTGGACTCTGTCCAGTAGCTCCTCATCTTTCTTGAACTGGGGAGCCCAGAACTGGACACAATACTCCAGATGGGGCCTCACTAGGGCAGAGCAGAGGGGAAGGAGAACCTCCCTCGACCTGCTGGCCACACTCTTCTAATGCATCCCAGGATGCCAGTGGCCTTCTTGGCAACCAGGGCACATTGCTGGTTCATGGTCAACTTGTCATCCACTTGTAGTTGTTCTCGACTACCCTTTTGAACATAGCTGTTACATTTTGCATGATGTTATAACAAACTGATTAGCTGTGGTGCTTAGGCTGAGCATCGGAGTTATGAAGTGTGGTTAAAGTTTGCTCCTTTTCTGAGACCAGACATCTAGATGTATCTTTCAGATTGATGTAAGGATGAAACAGTGGCAATGTTATGGCATTTCCTTCAAAATATTATAATTTTTTCTAATGTAAATTGTTCAATTTTTGACATAGTACGCATAAGTCATGCGGTAGTGCAGGCTTCTGCTTGAAGCCTTTTGTCTTCTCTTGTCCTTTTTTATTTTCCAGTCTGTTAGTCACTCCCTACACTGTTTGATTGTGGATTCCATTAGGCTTCCTAGTAGTTTAATTGCTTATTGTGTACAAGTCCTTTTGGGTACTGTAATATACTGGATGGATTCTGTTCAGCTGTCCTTCAAGATCTTGTGAAACTAAGTTAGAGGAGACTAAAAAATAAAAACCTGTTTTTTAAGACTTTCAGAAGTTGTGACAAAACTTACATCTGATTTCATGCATTAGTACAGCTTTCTTCAAACCTATTATCTAAATAAAATTCTTCCTATCGGCTCAGAAATATATTCATCATTTATCAACATGAAATACTCCTTGGGAATGTTTTGCTGCAGTTCACTGGAATTTCTAAAGTTTGTATTTTAAAGTTAGTAGTAATACAAGCTCTCTGAAGCCTCAAAATGTTAAATAAATCCTATTCTTGGTGTTAAAACCAATTTCAGTGTATGTTTCTTCAAGTACCATATTTCTGCCCTACAGGGCGCTCTGCCTGACTGTGTCAAATGTACACCACTTCACCCTAAATGAAGTCAAGTGTAAAAAGCAATAGTGAAGCCTTCATTAATGCTATTTAAGGCTACTTATTTTTATGCCATTTACAAAAGAAAATATTTTATGATAATAAAATAAACTCGAACATGAAAAATGTACTACAGAATAATTGCTTTCCAGAACAAGTTGTGTAGGGTGTGCATGCTTATGATCTAAATTTGCAGCGATTTTGTAACCTAAAAGGTCTTGGAAAGTCCGTTTCTATATTCATATGTATATAGAGAGAAAGAGATATAGAGAAATATATACAGAAATTATATATAAAACAAAAATTGACATAGATGCTGTAGTAACCCCAGAGTTCTCCTTTGATATTTTGATATTTTTCTTTTCACATAAATAGGATGTTTAAATCTGAATGATATCTCTCTATTAATTGACAGTTATATGAATTTGATCTTTCTGGGCTTTTTCCCCCTCCAAAAATGAGACACAAAGGAAGTTGTGGCTCTCTTACCACAGATTTTAAAAGATATCATTTTGCATTTACAACTGAAAAATTCTGTTCTGCAGTATTTTAAGTCTATAATGATTCACTGAAGTTACTAGAAGAGGTATGTTTCCTGATTAATTGTGATAAGTAAGTTTGCTGTAAGAACAGAAGCAAAACTTAATTAAGGAGAGGGACAAAGTGGAATAGAAACAATATGGTTTGTATGGTCATTTGAATCATTCATAGGATATGAGTAGTACTGACTGCACTTCTATAAATTAATTCATGTTCTTAAATGCCTGTCAAACTTTTTATGCTCTGCTACTGTTCCAAAATATTAGAAGTTTCAGAAAGTTGCTTCAACTGATGGGTAACTGAAATTTCATTTTGTGCTCTCTGCAGTGGGTCCTAGTAGATCAGTTTCTGATACTGATCTTTTCTTTAGTCTTCCTTTAATTTTTAGCATTTAGGTAAATGTTGATTTATTTCTGCTTTACAAAGTAACAGTGTGAAATGATAAAAGATTTGAAAAGCAAATAAACAAAAACTCTGCAGTATAAATACAAAGTGCAAAACCCAGTTTACCTTGGTTGACTTTCTAATAATTTAGCTTTTTCTAATAAATCAGTTTCGAGTAGTTTTCACGGTTGGGACATTCCTGATGCCTCTTCCAGTTTTTAGTCTGCACTATAGACCAACTTAATTATATTTTATTTACTTTCGAGACACTTCTCTATATATACCCATTAATAAGGAAGTAAAACTGAAAAGTCACTTACTTTCATTACTGTTATTTTACAG